CCCCCCTCCCCTCCAAAAAAAAAGGTACAAACACGTTCAAGATATGACACATGCAATAAACCATGACCAGAAAACCAAGTTAAAGTATCTAGGACAAACAGGAACAAGAAAAATTCCACATTATTTTATTTGTCATTTTAGTCTAAACCATAATTTATCCATTTTAATCTGACACAAAAATGGTATAACAATATCCAGTATAGACATATTCAAATATGTATCTTACATGCCGGGGATTATTTTGAACTATATCAACAGCTTCTTGATTGCTAAGGTGCTCCCAAAGCCCATCAGATGCAAAAATAACGTATTTATCATGTGGAAGCAACTGGTGTACTGATATCGATGGTTCTGAGCTCAATATTGGCCTTTTGAATGGCTCACGAAGTCGAAATTTTACATATAGAGGTTCTCTATTGAACTCGGGCTTTTTCAGATATACATCACCAATAGATCTAGATACCTGCAAGGTAAAATGGTTTTAGAAGTTAAGCAATACAATAAAAGAAGAGATGGGAAAAAATGCTCCAAGTCAAGCTATGCTGCTTATGCTGATAACACAAGAAATGACAACTAAAACTATTTTGTTATTAGTTAAAATTTCAAATGCTTTTGCTTGCAGGCGGAGAGATGGATATGTTGTAGAGCAAAACAGAAAGAAGTATAAAGAGATTTGAGAAGTAAATTAATCAAGTTGATATGTCCTAAAATAAAAAGTGAGAGAGTTCATAAAGCTTAATACAAGGATTATCAGTAAGGATCAAGAAAAGAATTAGACGTGACGTGACAATCTCAAGACTCAAGGTCCAAGTTATTTGCAAGAAAATGGAAAAACAAAAAATAGTTACTAATTTTTACTGAATAATATAGACATCTCAATATGCACATTCAGCTTCAATAAATTAAATTCTTATCAAATCAAAATAAAAACAAAAGAAGTTGCCATAACAAAATTACATTAAGCTGGGGGAATTTGAGTATTTGTACACTTATAGCTTCAGGAGTTCTATTGTAAAAAACAATATGAAAAGAAAATTGCAGCACCTAGAGATGCCGACAAAATTTAGGGCAATTCCTTTATTGTTCTATGAAATCTTATTTCGCAATTCCATGCAAATGAGAGTTTTCTGGTAATATAGAGTCATTTTGAATACCATTAACAAATTAAATGTTAACGCTATTAAGCTGAATTGCATAAAAAATCCATTGATGTCGGGAGAAATAACTAGGGCCTTCTTCCATACACAAAATTGACACCATAATTTCTCAGTTCTTTTACTATCTCATGCCATTCCCCATCCTTTTAATATAGCATAGTTCCTATATTATTTAGATATTCTTCGTATCCTCAGAACATGATATTGCATTCTTAAAACTGAAAAATTTGCATCCAATACTAAAATATTAAAATTTAAAATGCTATTAGGAGGTGAGGTTAATGCTTCGAGAGTTTAGGAATCAATTGTCAATCTAAATGTGCTTGTAGCACCTAGTGTAGATAAATAGCATCTATCAGATAGAAAACAAATTTTATCCGCTATAGAATTGTAGTTGTACCTGTATAAGGCCCTTCACACGCCACACATTATGCTTCAAAACAACAATGTTTGGATCATCAGGGTGCAAAGATTGCAACTCATGTCTAACGGACTCTATTGATGCATTATGCTCTGGTGACAATTGCATGGCTAAAACCTCCCCAGTTGCCTTGACTGCTCTCCCCAAAACAGCACGGGAATCACCGAGATTTGCTATATAAAGGGTTCCATTACAAATAACACCAACAAGACAACATGATCCAACAGCTGCAATCTGTGGTTTCATTGACCACTCTCTGGCAACAAGTGACATAAATCCCTCTTCTGTTGCTTGGATTGCCTTGCGAATTACATCCACTGACATTGATTGTTGCTCTGCAGTAAATCCTGAAATTTAATAATTAAGCATGAATAATTTGAAATTATGCAGAGAACGATCAAAACAACGCTAAATCCTTCATTGATCATGCAAATACCCGGGAAAACAACAAAAAGCTTTATCCTACTAGGTGAGGTAGGCAAAGACAAAAACCACAATTTCCATAATTTCAACTCTGCGTGTATATTAATCTTTTTCATGCTATAACTTGCATATAGTTGATATAATGAAAGGAGAAACAAGTACTAGGAATAAAAACCATCCCTAGCCACCATATGTTGCACAAAAGAATGAAACCGTATTAAGTCATTTGTGATGCTCAAACAATCTATTCAGGTAAGAACAAAAATAAAGAAAATAAATCCCTTAGTAACATCTATTTGGTTTCACAAAGCAAAAAAATTGTCTCTTTGATATCAAAATAGGCAGCATAATACAAACCCTTCTACTATCTAATCTTTCGAGCCACTTGAGTCCATCTTTACACCCACAGCTCACTGTAGTAATAACTATATAATGTTCGGAATTGGAAGGAAAGGAAAATATGACAAAGGAACAAGTACAATCTATGCCAACAAAGAAAAAGACTTTAAGCATTCACAAATCTTCATGTTGCTTACTCTTGAGATGGTGAAGTAAGTGATCATTGATAAACCGCGATGTCTCGGGCCCTCCATGCCCATCATAGACACCAACAAGGGTACCATAAGGACTGGAATCGCTGGAGCTCAAGCTGCCTGATTCAAATTGGCTCTGATCCTCCAGCAAGTTGTTGGCTTGGACCACAGCCATTGAAAAGTCGCCATGTAAGTGCTGCCCCAAGTCTTTGTACCACAAGAGTCCATCCTGTTTACCTCCAGCATCTGAACCAGTGTGCACGTATCGACTTGAATTTGGTCGAAAGCAGGCCGTCAAATAGTTCATCAACTCTGATAACATCCCTCATCTTGCCACACAACCTTCAGAAGTTTCCACATCTATCAATCACCCAAGAACAACTTCACCCCCAAGAATATTCAGCCACTATGATCCTGCACTACAACAGTCACTACCACAATGATCAATCCACAAGCACAAATACAAAACTACTGATGATATCAAATTAAGGTGCAATTTCAAATAAAAGAAGCCAACTTCTAAAGGATGAATGATGAATCGTAATCTGAGACAGAAACTAGCTTTTCCGATCAAAACTCTTGCTTTTATTACTTTTTTTAATCACGAGTTCACAACAAAAACTATAACCAAGTACAGCCTCCAACTATATGAAAAACTCAATCAAGAGGAAGAGGTGAAACTTATACTTCTTTTTTTTGTCTTGTATTTCGAAAGAAGAGTTTTAAAAAACATTATTCCTCATTTTGGTCGGCTCATTGGAAATTTCACATTCACATTGGAAATGAAACCCCAACTCATACTAATCTTCATAAAAGCCAATAAAGACAACAAAGTAGCTTTTTGATCAAGTATATACATATAGAAAAAATAAAATAATCAGAAGAGATATCTCACCCCAACAATTAGACTATTGACTGGAAGCTATGTTGGATGATGCTCCAGTTGAAGAAGAGAATGATCAAATTAAGAGTATGTGAAACCAGTAGATCTGTGGATCCAACAAATCAAAATAAAAAACAAAGTGGGGTTGATTTTCTTCTTTCTTTTTTATATATGTGTGTACCACTGTCTATGCTGCAATCTAGTTGTGTTGTCTATGTAGATGGTGGGAAAAAATATTGATGAAGAGGTACATGGAGGAATTAAAAATTGAAACTTAAGTTATTTTATTTTGTTGAAAATTAGTTAAACTGAAACCCTTTCCTTTTGCTTTTCTTCAGTTCAGCAGACAAGCCCCATAAAAGGCCAACAATGGAGAACTGAAAGCCAGCAAAGCAGAGCGGTGAGAGAGACAATGATGCATGTAAGATGGGCAATGTGATGATAGTTTATAATTTATATGATAAAAACCAATTCCCACTCATTTTGGGTTTAGTCAATGGTGTGGGCATTCAATGAAAAAGGAACCGCATCAGGACACGTGGAATATCTGGTGTTTTACAGCTTTTAAAATATCTAGAATGGTACACGTGTCTCCTTTATAGGTGGGTGACACGAAAGAGCTGTGTGTTAGCAAGTGAAGTAGAAAAAAAATGCGGATTTATTATTTTACGTGACATTCCTAGCTAATAAAATTTCGGTCTTTATTTAAAAATAAAAAATAAAAAGATAAAATATTGATGTCAGATATTTTGATAAGAATCTAAGTAAAAATCTCGTGATACATTTTGGAAAATTGCTTATTTCACCAGCGGTCATTAATCCTTGTTTTTAGTTTTTCAAATTTAAAATTAATTTTTTAATTTATGTAATTTCAAAAAAAATTATGTCAGTCTTTATACTAACTAATGTCTTTATTAATGAAAACATCATATTAAACCTAATTGATAGTATATAATTATCTCAACTTATCACTTTTAAATACATTATTGGTAATCTAAAAGATTAAAAAAAATTATAAAAATTATAAAAACTAAAATTAATTTATAAATTTGAGAGACCAAAAATAAATTTATCTTAAATTTGAGATATTAGAAACATATTTAAGAGAAAAAAAAGTGTTAAAACTTGAAAAAATCTTTCTTTAGTAAACCTACTCTATTTAACCTAAATAAGATGAGATCTAAAACAAATTTCATACATAAGAGGTCCAAGTCTAAAATATCACATTTTTTAGGTGATGTTGGGACCAATTTGATTGTGAAAGGAGTTGTTGTAAAACTTGACTAAAATCCATGTAGAAAGGAGTTGTTTAAACACTTTACTTAAATCCATGTTCCGAGTCAATATTCCAAGTGATTGTTAAGGACCGTAGTTACATATTTTGGTCAGTTGATTATACAGTTGACTAGTTAGAGGCTTCACCTAAGTAGAAGTCCAAAACCGTTGCCATAGAAGGGTTTAGTTAGGTATCTTCGAGCATGACTCTCCCCTAGCATATAGATTATAGGCAAGGGATAAGAAAATATTTCATGAATCTTATTAGATGAGTTCAAATTGAAATAATGGATTCGTTCAAGTTCTCTGAAGGTTGTATTAGCTTATCGTCAACCTGTAGATTTGTTGGTGACAGTTGGCGAGGGATAAAATCGTAAAGCTGATAATTATTGCAGTAAAACTTAAAAAAAAAATTGTTTCATAGAAAAGAAAACTAAACTCACATGAACTACTACTAGTAGTGTTTCGGAATGAAATATACCAAAGGTTCAGGGGGGTTTGTATCAATTTGAAAACGGAATTTCCTCACCACAATTCTAACTTTGGTAAAAATGTGTCTCGACTAAATATTTTTGCCTCACAAAAGCCCCATTGGCTAAGTACGCTACATATGCCTTCAGGAAATTAGTAAATACGTGATCAAAATTTCAGCATCTTGGTAGAGTCTTCATTGAGAATATGGTGTAAATGCCGTGGAGTCTATTCGCTCTATCCTATAGTAACGCTCTCCTTTTCCAATGGGTAACAACTGACTAGAGCACCCCAAGATACACATAGTCAGTGTCTATCCCAAAGATAATTCTTAAGTCAACAGAGTTTGGTTAAACGTTAGTCATTTAGTTCAAGCTAACAACCTTCTTGCAAATGTGACGGTTCAATTTGAATATGACAATTCAACACAAAATTATGTTCAAAATGTTCCTAAGCGTTATACCACTGCTAAAACTACAAGGCAAGAGCTTAGAATAATAATATAAAAAAAATTGTGCCAGATATCAACAAAACATCATACTAGCACTAATTATAGTTGTTCACCCAGCAGAACTAAAGCCAAATGACTTGACAATAGTGCTCACTCTTTCGGCAAAAGTTCTGGAGGTTATCTTTTTGCCTGGCACATGGAATGGGTTTGAAACTGCATCTACGTATGCAGCATGGAACCTCCTGAAAAACTGTACAGTAGTACAATCCACCAGAAGTTAAGTTAGCAAGGAGAAAACTACATCAAATAGTATAATACTTCATAGGAGGTTAAAATCTCTCTCGAGTGATGAGACAAAATGAAAAGAAGTAGCTAAATCCGCGTATTCATATATCCTATAAATATTACCCATTAGTATGCTATTAACAAGAAAATGCACACGAAACAAATATAATAACATAGTGATATTGAAAATAGTAAAAAATTTAAGTACCTTATTGAAAGAAATCATATAGGAGCTCTTATAAATTAACAACTAAAGTCAGAAACAAAAGCAACAATTTCATCAATGAAGAAAATGACAGCCAGGAACCACGAAAATGTCATATTCTTAAGTGAAAGTGGGAAACATTTGTGTCAACAATAAAAAATAAAAAAAACTAATTAAAGCTTTTTAATTTAAATAAAACAAAATTATTACCAAACACTAGAATGCCTTAGAGAACAAAGTAAAACAAAACAAGAAAAAACCATCAACAAAAGGGCATACCAATCCCTTCACATTTCTATCATCAAATCCCTTGAAGATGGTGGAGTATCAAAGGGAAGCCATGAAAATGACTCTATATTAAAACATGCTAGTCTCTCACCTAAAAACACTAAATTACTTTTATATGATATGTCAATAATTCTCTCGTAACTGAACTTAAATTCAATCACGTAAGTTAACACTTAACAGGATCATGACTACAGAGAATATTTTGCCATAGTTTTTTCTATCTACCACTACTTTGAAGAGGTAGCTGTGCAGAGGAAGATCTGTACAAATAGTGAAAGAATAAAAAATAAATGATAAGAGTAGTGATGTCTCAACCTATTGTTCCATTCCCTCCACACTCTCCTACCCTCCTTTTATATTCTACCGGATTCCCTCCCTTGCCCTCCTAATCCTACTTCCTGCCACTGATGCAGGTAGTTACAATTCAGATACCTAAGATACTCTCTCCTTGCGTTTTCCATCATCACCAGTACGGGCTACTAATACCCTGCTTCCCATTCTATCGTAACATCCACTTGATAACTGTGCCAATAAAAGCCAAATTCTATGTATAATAGGTACAATGGCAATAACAACCACAAATTTTAAACATCGAATCACCATTCATTGCTCATGCTTAACAAAACATCATCATTTCCTATAAGAATTGACATATGCTCCAAATCTTAAAAAATAATTGGTATCAGTAGTTAAATTATATGACAGGACAAGCTATCCAATATCTTATGACCAAAATCTTGGGATCAAAATAATGTACCACCTATCAGTATTTACTTCAATATATACTGAATATCATTGCTAAAAGCATTATTACCTCACGAGTTATTTACTTCCATTCATGAAGACAAAGGAACTTCTCTAAGTAGAAAACATAATTCCACGAAACTTCACCAGGGAAATGAAAGAAAACAATCAATGGTCACCAAATATACTCACATTTCTTACATCCGCATCTTTAACATCCAGATCCGTGGTCACCAAGATAAATTTCACCTTCGTATTAGTCAGATATCCATATCTGCAAATCAAATCTCATTATGAAACATAAAAAAAGGCAAATCCACAAACTTTCCGTTGTTAGATCGAGGATAAATCAAATAAAATTTCTCTAACAGACAACAAATGCACTCACACTTTGTAATTTTCAATAGGATAAAGCAGTCCCAGAAACGTCTCATTAAGCATCGGTCCAGACTTTTTAGGATTGTTCACTGCCAAGTAAACACATTCCATGAGATTCAGAGTTACGCCTAAAATTGAGGTACAGATTTTTCCTTTCTTACTAAACTTAAGGATCTCAAAATCACAACCATTAGCATCAAAAACAAAATATCGCATAACATAAAAAACTTCAAAATCTCAAAAACATAAAACCTAGGGTTCCAAAACGAAGACGAAAGCATAGTAAACGCAAACGCACCTCGCTCGTCGACGACATCGAGCGAGCAATGGACGATGTGGTGGAGTTTGAGAGCGTCATCGGCCTCCGTGAAGCTCTGAATGTAGAGCGGATTGTTCTGCGCGATTCCAGGGGAAAGAAGAGTTCGGGTTTAGATCGGCGATAGAAAACGGGCAATTTCACCGGCGATAGGTTAAGGAGACTGACCTGGTGACCGACGACGGCGACGCAGACAATCATGTTGTTCTCCGGCAGAGTGCCGACGCCGATCGGGGACTAGCTCGGTTACGCTGCACCCGCACCCACCGAATCGATGGACTGAATATTGAAAAGGGTTGTAAGAGAAGGAAGCAACCCACCGCAGTAGGCAGTGTTCTGGTGTGGATGGGTCTACCGGAATTAAAATTGCACATTATGCAACTCTCCTTAGTCCTTAGAATTATTTACCTCTCTTTTTTACTTTTCTTTTTTCTTTTTCTTTTAAGTTTTACATTCTCTTTTTCCATTTATGAGTTCTAATTGTATTTTTTTTTTTTTTACTAAGGAGTAGGAGAATCGAGTGAAGTTTTATTTGCACACATATATGATGTTTTAGTTGCAAAATGATGCTATAATATCAATTTCTATTTTTATATATTAAATTTGAGTTATTTCAAGGGTATGAAATTTTCCCAATCAATTTTATTTCAAGGTGTTCTTAATTTAGACGGCTTGAACATGCATGAAGAAAATCGGTAGAAATCTAGATTAATAAGTTAAGATATTTATAAACTCTTTTATCTAACTTAAAAATTTGTTAAACCAAAATAAAAATATATAATATGTTTTAAAAATTTATAATTTAATTATATAAATTAATTTAAATAATTTATAATTTTTAAGTTTTTTTTTTCTCTTTTATCTTTGTTAAATATTTATTTTTTATTTTTAATTTAGAAATTATTTTTTCAACATATTATCTTCTCACTTTTATTATCAAATAAATAAGTATTTCAATTAATATTAATCAATTAATTTAGTAGTTAATCTTATTAAATATTTTCAATTGAATTAGTTAATTTATAAATTTTTAATTTTTTAATTTCTAATATATAGACTTTTAACTAATTTATAAGTTTTCATGTAAAAAAAATCAACTAAACACACCCTAACAAAATCAATAAGGAAAAATGAGAAAACTATAAGTCAAAGTATTAAACAAGGATCTTACCATAATTTTGAGAAGTCAATCAGACCAATAATTCATAAAAATAAAAAAAAAAATTGAAGAAATTTAAAACTTATTAAATTGGTCAAAAAAAATATTGAACTGCCAATTTTTTAAAATATTTTAATTTAATTTAAAATGTTTTTAAAATGAATAATAACACATTTAATAATTATTACAAATAAAAAAATGTTTTTATCAATTATTATTATTAATTTTATAATAAAAATTTGTATTAATTTACTATCTAATATTAATTTATTAAAATAATTTATCTCTTAATAAATATATTATTTCTAATTGTGATGGTGGAAGAGCTTATGAGACAATAAATTAAAAAAAATAATATTATATTGAAAACTAAAAATATTAATCATTTTAAAACTTTTTTTAAATACTAAACTATCATTAATATAAGTTTAATTAAATCATTAAACCTTCAACCAATATTTTGACCAATTTGATTACTTCTTTGATTTTAATAGTAGGCTAAATTTCTTATAAAACTCAAGTTAACTTTATCATTTTAAAAATCTAATATATCTTAAAAATTTATTAAATGACTTACTTTTTATAGTAATATCTTTTACTTATGTCTTATAATATATTTCTTTTTAGATTTTGGTCTTTTTAAAATTATTTTTTTATAATCATCATAAAATTTCTTCTTTTTTTTTTTTTTTTACTTTGATACTTGGTATTTTGTTTTAGTCACTTTAATATACTCATTTTTTTTACCTTGTAATTTGTGAATAATTTGTTTGTAATTTATTTAAAAGGATTATAATAAGTATTTTGTAATGATTAATATATATATATATATATATATATATATATATATAAATTAAAATACCGATTAAGACTATCTCAATACTAGTGATTGATTTTATTTTATTTATGCATATAAAAACAGGCTTAATTGCATTTTTTCCTTCAAACTTTTGGTTTTTGGTGAATTTGACCCTCAATCTTTTTTT